CTGACTTTAAAGAGGCTGGGAAAGGTTTTAGTGAATAAGCTACATTTCTGGGAAAGAAATAATGGATATGAACATCCTCCGAAACATTTAAAGCAGCAAACAAGTGGAAAGGAATATTTTGCGTCTGTAGATCTAGTTTCTGAGATTAGATCACTAGGCCAGGCCTTAGATCATATTTAAACTCAAGTAAATGGGTAAGTTAAAATATTTGGAAATTATTTGGCAAATCAAATGTTTTAGTCAATCAATTTGACCAATTAATATGTATGGCAGTTTGAAGCAATACCATAGAATTCTTTATCTTTGCTCTAGGCCAATTTTATACAGCATAATATAACATAAACAGTTTTTAGTCCGTGGATTTAATAGAAAGCAAAAATGGAACTAAATGGCTAATTTTAAAAAGACTAATGAGATTTCACCCAGCATTATGTACAAGCCAAATTCTATGCTATATGGATAAAACAGGCCCTCCAGATGGAGAAAACATAAAGAAACGAATATTAACTAGGAGCCTGCTATTTCCCACACATTATGGCACTTTCAAAAATATTATTTCATTAAGAAATACATTTATGAGCTTGTTTTTCAACACATATATTACAAATTAATTGAAAAGTTCTAAGCCAAGCATTTTGGTTCTCAAGTTATGCAGTATTAAACAGGATCTTCTGCTACAGAAAATATTATTAATTTGGTTTTTCAGAAGCTATGTTTGAGAATCCATTTGAAGTGGTAAAACTAGTACATGTGTTTCCTCTGTGCTGTCCAAACAGTTTGCAGAGAAAGGCTTTAGATATGCTACCTCTGTGGCTCAAGTTCATGTTAATTTTGATTCATGTCAGGTCATTCTTCTGCAGAAACTTCATGTAAGAGCAAAGGCTACATTGCTCTAAGATATCCAAGGTGGTGAGATTCTGGGGCATCTAAATACTGTCTTGGCATTCTCAAGGCACACAGTTGCTAGGAGCTGGTGAGCCAGATTCTCGACTTCTTCCATGAAGCCTCTAAACGACTCCTTAGTTTCATTCCATCGGCCAGCACCTGTGCTGTCCTGGGGGAGGCCGGCACACCACAGGGCCACTCGGTCCTGGAGGCCAGCAAGGTCATCCTGAGCCCAGCAGTGGGGCTTGGAATTCACTCGGAGTTCCCAGCTCTGCACAGTGTTCTTGGTCAGGCAGCACCGCAGCCAAGAGTTCATGACTGGCTCTGTTGCTCTTTACTTGCTAAGTCGTATCAGACTCTTTGCAACCCCATGGACTCCTAGCCCACCAGGCTCCATGGGATTCTCCAGGCAAGAATACCGGAGTAGGTTGCCATTTCCTTCTCCAGGGCATCTTTCCGACTCAGGGATCCAACCCGCGTCTCCTGCACTGGCAGGCGGGTTCCCTACCACTGAGCCACCTGGGAAGCGTCCAAGGTCTGGGCCACGATTTTACATTAACTTAAAACAAAAGAAAATGTAACTGCCTGCCTTTTCAGCCCTTCCCTGTTGTAACAAAAACATAAGGAAAAATGTCTCTGGAGACGGATATCTGCAAAACAAAACAAAAGACTTTTCTGGCAAAGGGAAGGGAAAATGAGTTCTGTGATCTGGTTTCCGTATCCCTAAATAACTGGCAGTGGGGAGAGGCAAGGCAGCTCTCAGAGAAGCCTCATCACCAGACTGTGGGGCCGACCCCCCAGGGAGAGCAGCTCGGAGGCAGTGCTAAGGCCCCTCAGGTCACAGGTCAGCTGACGCGAGCTGGGGCCGGGGCTGCTCCCAGCCTCCCAGAACGCATCTACACTACGGCTATGGCCTCACACCAAGCAGATGTCCAAGATTAGCACTCCTCTCGAGAGTCAGGAAGAAGAAACCATCCTAACCGTTTTGGTAATTTAGACCCCAAACCGTTGCGCTGGGAGATTCATTTAGAGGATATGAAAACCACTGGGATTCTGAGAGAGGCGGCCAAGATTCCAGCAAGTAAGTCCGTCTTCTCCCCAAATAACTTAACTCGGCTCCACCTGCTTCTTGTTCTTTGTCAAAATAAAATGAATGCAAGCCATGTCTGTGCAAACCAGGCTTATCACTAAAGGGACAGTAAGTTCAACGCTGGCAGGAAAATGAAAATCAGAGGGAATCTTAATGAGCCATAGTGGAAATAAGGCCACGTTACATGAAAAATATGAGTCTTTAAACTCTGTATCAACACGGTTTGGGAACAGAGCTCAACAGGGAGGATGTTAAATTCATGTTTTCCCAGTACAGTCACCTCAGGACACAAGCTCGATGAGCAGACGTGAGTGGAAAGGGGCACAGAACTGCTCACACCACTAGTGATTCTCTCTCTTTTGCATGCGCACCGTAGCTTGCTCAGCAGAAGCTAGTCCATTAAATTAAGCAACTGCCCTCTCATAGAGCAAGTCAGTTCCAGAGGGCTTTCAGGCTGCGGTGCTGGAGAAGACTCTTGAGAGTCCCTTGGACAGCAAGATCAGACCAGTCACTCCTAAAGAAAATCAACCCTGAATACTCATTGGAAGGACTGATGCTGAAGCTGAAGCTCCAATACTTTGGCCACCTGATTCGAAGAGCTGGCTCACTGGAAAAGACTCTAAGGCTGGGAAAGATAGGAGGCAGGAGGAGAAGGGGACGGCAGAGGATGAGATGGTTGGATGGCATTGTCGACTCGGTGGACATGCGTTTTAGCAAACTCTGAGAGACAATGAAGGACGGGGAAGCCCAGTGTGCTGCAGTCCGTGGGGCTGCGGAGAGTCGGACGCGACCCAGCGCGTGAAGAGCAGCAAACGGACCGCGGTTTGCAGGGACACTGAGTCATGCGGCGACAAGGGCTACGCAGGAGCGGGCACAGAGAAAGTGTTCTACTTAGCGAGGTGAGGCAGACAGTAACAAATGTTCTATCCTATCACTCGTATAGAGAGGCTAAAAAACAACAATACAAATGAATTATATCCCAAACAGAAACACACTCACAGACACGGAAGACAAGCTTATGGTTACCAAAGGCGAAAAGGGAGGGGAAGGAACAAGGGAGGAATTTAGGATTAACAGACACAAACTACTATCCATCAAAAAGACCAACAAGGATATGGTGCAAAGCACAGGCAATTATACTCAATATCTTGTAATAACCTTTACTGGAATATAATCTGAAAGAAATAATCACTTTGCTGTATATCTGAAACTAAAAGCAAAACTAGAGAAAATCAAGGCCACGCTTCCAAGCAAGACAGGCGTGTACCTCACAAGGCCAAGGACAAGAGGCAAAGATCATGCATCTCCTGTTCCATCCCTTGACAGTGAATTGTCTCCTGTTTGCTTCACTCAGACCACAGCTGGTATGTCTCAGAGGCTGTCTGTTTTGTTCTAGAAAGGAAGAGGCTGCAGTATGTCAGAGACACCAAGAGAACAGTTAGGGAGGAAAGAACACAAGATACTTGTAATCTTTATCTGGGTAAGGCAGACAGAGTCAGACCAGAAAAGAACACAAAAGGAAACATTTCTGCCTCAAAAAGCCAGGCATGCTCATCCCCGTGGGGCAAGACATCTGGAGGGGACTTTGGATAATGAAACACAAGGAGAGAAAGACCCTTTGTTTTCTCCTCACTCAGGAATGCCCAGGCGGGGTTCGGAGATCATGGGCCTTGCCCAACTCAGCAAAGAGTGTCTGTCACTGCTCACGGCTGTGTCTCAGGATCAACCTGACAGCTTGGCCTCCGCTCAAGAAGCCTGAATCATCTTCTTGGTTGCACACGAATGAGTCAGAGGCTAGAGGACAGGGCCCAGGCCCTCACTGGGAGCCAAGCCCTGTTAGCTGGGCTGTATTAGCTGCTAGATTAGAAACACAGGGAACGGTGTGAAATGAGCACTTTACGTGTATGAACTGCTTTATCCCAACAGCCTGACGAGGGAGGTTATGATTTCCCTCCTCATTTTACATATGGGGGACTGAAGCCAAGAGCCTTCCCCACACTGCAGGGAAATGGCAGAATGAGGAACCACATGCTGCTCCTCAGGCTGAGAGATCGCCTGCATTGCTAGACCCCCTCCCAGACAGAGAGGACACATCGCCTGCTATTACTAGATGCTAAGGGAGGCCAAAGAATTGATGCTTTTGAACTGTGGTGTTGGAGAAGACTCTTGAGAGCCCCTTGGACTGCAAGAAGATCAAACCAGTCCATCCTAAAGGAGATCAGTCCTGAATATTCACTGGAAGGACTGATGCTGAAGCTGAAACTCCATTACTTTGGCCACCTGATGTGAAGTCCTGACTCATTGTAAAAGACCCTGATTCTGGGAAAGATTGAAGGANTCCATGGGATTTCCCAGGCAAAGGATACTGCAGTGGGTTGCCATTTCCCTCTCCAGGGAATCCTCCCAACGCAGGGATCAAAGCCCGGTCTCCCGCGTGGCAGGCAGACTCTGTCCTGACTGGGCCACCCCCCCGAGTGTTCACAGTAGCCTCTGGAGGACACCGAGGATGCGCTCAGTGACAAGCCTAACTTCTCCCGAGCTGCGAGGTCAGTAACTAGCAACCATCCAGGAAGTGGCTTCTCCAGGATGTGAAGTGAGGGAGGCAGCTCCACAGGCCCCGCCCTTGGCCATGACACCACACATCTTCTGCCATCCCCACCACCACCACGGAGAGGGTTGTTCACCCCTCATTTTAGAGAGCTGAGGCTCAACAGCTTGTAGAAGGCAGAAGTGTTCCTGACCAGGACAGAGAGGTGATTCATCAGAGGGCCTGGCATCCCAGGAACCCATGGGAACCTTTCCCCACAGGCAGCTAAGGGCCCTCTGGGTTCCTCCAAACGTAAAGCAATGGATACCAGCAAGCCCCCTCCCCATCAGAGCCAAGTTTCTTAGGAGAGAAATGACTTTCCTCAGAGTCTCCATCTGTTTTTGCCCCATGAATGACACTGAGGCACCCCCTCCCCAGGTCGGAACCCAACCCCCTGCCCTCAGCATGCCACTCCGCAGGTGAACCCTTGGCACTTACGCTTTAAACGCTGGGAGGTAGGAGTATATGGAAATGCTGCTGAGGTTGTAAATGAACGGCAGGTGTTTCCTGATATCTGTTGTTGCCCAGCTGCTGAAAAACGTGTTCAGTAAACCCTGGTCCCCACCTGAAAGAAACAGACATCACAGTCACGGACGCCAAGGACAGGTCAATGATTTTACAGGAATATATAACTGGACGTTTACAAAGAGGTCCTCATTCTATTTTTTTTTTTTTTCTGGCCGTGCCTCAAGGCTGATGGGATTTTAGTTCCCTGACCAGGGGTTGAAGCCAGGCCCTCGGAAGTGAGAGCCCAGAGTCCTAATCCCTGGACTGCCAGGAAATTCCCACTAATTCCATTTTAAAAATAATAAATTCTACATCAGACACCCGGAGGACATTTTAGAGAGTAGCCATCTCCCTGAGTTAATTCATTAATTGAGCAAATACTGACTGCGAAGCTGCTATGTGCCAGACCACCAGCCCAGGCACTCGAGAATCAGCTGTGAGCAGAGACAGGGCCATCATGGAGGACAGTCTGGGGAGGCTGGGAGGCCCCACTGTCAGCAAATCCAGAATCCACAACACCATGGCAAATGGGGATGAGGGCCGTGAGGGAAAGTTCTGAGCGCCCCGAGGCGTGCGGCAGTGGCTTGAGATGTGGTCTGGCAGGCTGGGGCAGGCCTCCACGCAGAGGCTGTGTGTAAGCCAGAAGTGCCTGCACACGCAGGGTGTCCAGGGCGGCACAGGTGGGCAGACCACTGCAGCCGGAGAGAAGGCGGGCAGACGGTGCTCCAGGCAGAACACAGCACCACAGGCCGGAGGACGGCAGAACATGCAGCCACGGAAAGACGCCTGGAAGGCGGCCTGCAGAGCAGGGCGGGGCTCACCTCCCGCCAGGAGGGTCTCCAGGAGGCAGGCAGCAACTAGACCACCCCAGGCTGGGATTTCAGACTCTTGGTCAAAGATTTTAGGCTTTAGGTTAAAGGGTTTCCCTGGGGGCTCAGTGGTTAAGAAAAAAAATCCACCTGCCAATGCTGGGGACAAGGGTGTGAACCCTGATCCAGGAAGATCCCATGTGCTGGGAAGCAACTACGTTCGTGCACCCCAACTACGAAGCCTGTGCTCTAGAACGGGGGGGCCACGACTGCTGAAGTCGGCACACCCTGGAGCCCATGCCCTGCAACAAGAGAAGCCCCCGCGGTGAGAGGCCCGCACACTATACCTGGAGAGCAAGTGAACACATAAATGAAACACTTTAAAAGGTCACAGAGCAAAAAAACCCACAAACGTCAGAGAGCAAATATTTTTTTTTTAAGGAAAGAGAAATGGTACAGAAAGAGAAGCCAAAAGCAAAAGCGAGCAAGCTGGGATGGCAGAATGCTTCTGAAGCCCCCAGCACGGACGGAAGGCTGATGGACAGCAGGCCACGTCCCACTGGCACAGCCTCCTGCCACCAATCACACCTGCAAGCAGGTCCGTCCTCACCGGGCTAAGTCGACAGCAGCCACAAACGCTTAGCGCACTGACTGCGCAGACCCTGGGGCTTCCTGGACCTCACACTTTGCTCAGATAGTGAGGACCATGCCGTTCACTTTAAAGAAACAGAACAACGAAAATCTCAACAGCTAAGAACAAGACCTAAATCACAAACACACAAGTAACTAAAAAGCCACTAAGCCACTTCAGAACACATTCAACCAGAGGCCACGTGCTTCTCCCCTGCCCAGAACCAGGGTCCCCCGCAGCTCGGGCATGCGGGTGTTCACAGGCGTGTGTGTGTGCTCGGAAGGGAGGGAGGGTGGCGGCAAGGAGAATCCTGCGCTTTCAAAGTGCAAGGCTGGCTAACCACGGTTACTTCCCCCCCCCGCCCCAATTGGCTCTATTATTATTTGACTTTTCTTGGTTCTGAAAAAGGCTTTAAAGATCTGGAGATGCATTTAATATTCAGAGCTAAGTAGCAAGGTCAGGGCACTAGGTTTAAAGTCCAAATGTACCTTACCTAGCCTCTGTGTGTCCCATCCTTTCCAAATGCCTTCGATCAACTCTATGGATCAAAGGCATCACTGAGCAATGTCTGGAGTGACCTCACATGGAGTCATCTGTTTCAGAAAGTTCTGAGAGGCCCCCATTACGTGAGGGACAAGTAGCTCAACAGAGAATCGAGGTTGGTGGACTGCATCAATGCATCAGTTCCTGTTGCAGAATTACAGTTACACAAGATGTTGCCACAGGGGGAAACAGGGTGAATGAAGTGCATGTGGGGTCTCTCTATGCATTTTTTTAAACTGCATGTAAATCTACAGTTCACTCAAATTTTTTTTTTAAAGTTCAAAGATTAACGTGGCTAAAATGCAAAATGCCATCAAGAACTGTTCGTTATTAGACTCTAGATTCCACAAGGACAGAGATTATGGCTCTTTCTGCTTATCACTGCAATTCTAGCAGCTAGCAGAATGCCTTACACACAGGTAAGTTATTTGTAGAATGAACAAAAGAACCATGAAGATGGACATTAATGGCAGAAAAGCTGAAACAACTTGAATATTCCACCACAGAAGAGTGGTTAGTATACTGTGATACTAACCACTCCCAACATTATTCAGCCATTAAAACCAGTGGTTATAAAGACCATCAATATACTGTGTAATATAAAAATACACAATGATACACATTATAACTAAGAACGTGTGTGTGTGTGTGTGTGTGTGTGTGTGTGTCTCAGTCGTGTCCGACTCTCTGTGACCCCACAGACTGTAGCCCGCCAGGCTCCTCCGTCCGTGGAATTCTCCGGGCAAGAATACTGGAATGAGTTGCCACTTTCTTCTCCCGGGGATTTTTCCCAACCCAGGGATCAAACCCTCATCTCCTGGGTCTCCTGTATTGGCAGGCAGATTTTTTACCACTGAGGAAGCCCCAAGAACATACACATTCCTACCAGAAGAAAATAAATCCAACAGCAGCAGTGTGAGGGGATTGATGTTACCGATGTTCCCTCACTCCAACTTTTCATTAATATTGTTACATTGTTTTTGTAGTTCTAGCATATTAATACTACAACTGGGGAAAGAATGAGAACTGTGCCAAGACCTTTTCTTTCCATTTTTCACTTATTTTCAATATGAAATATATTATCAAAACAAAAATATATGTGTAGGTTATAAAGCATACAGTAACGCTAAATATACCCAATATCCAACTGAAAAGCTCACACATTATCAGCACAGTTTAAATTCTCTGTGGGGGGTTCCCTTACCCAATTTCACTGCCGCCGACCCCAGAAGGAACTATTTATCATGAAATTTGTTTGTAATTATCTTGATTTCCTCTACCACATGTGTGTGTCTCCAGACAATATATATTTTCACTTGTTTTTGAACTTTATAAAACTAGGCATCACACTACATATCTTTTTCTATTACTTGTTTTTTCCTGCCACATTCAAAGACTTTTCTTTTAAAATTAAGCAATTCCACTTAACATGACTACTGACGACGTTGTAACGCAGAGAAGAAATCCGATTCCATGAAGGTCAGAAGGGTAAGCATAAAGCCGAACTCCCCAGTCTGACAGGGTGAGCCTGGGAAACAGGAGTCAAGAGTTTTGTTGATCGCTCAGCGCCCCTGGCCAGCTGCCTCCAGCTACAAAGGGCTGCCTCCGTCCACGCCCAGGTACCCTCCCGAGGCCGACGGCAGGGCTGAGAAGCACCGCTAGAACAGGAAACAAGCAAGAAGTGGAGAGGCAGGGCAGCAGACGTCTGAGTCAGGTACTCATTCAACTGGCAGTCCTCAAACCTCCACAAGCACCCTCCCTCTCAGGGCGCAGAACACACAGACCATGAAACTTCCATGGCCACTGACGTCATTATGTGACTATGAAGGGTGCCCCTTTAGTCAAAAGTTGTGGATTAGAAATAGAATCAAATGCCACCTAGAAGTCTATGGCTTCTTATATGATTTTTAAATTTGGCCATCTAACCATCTTCTTCCAAATATACAATTGCAGATCTCAAGATCATGCAAAACTATGTTTTAGTTTCACTAGAAAAGTCTGTGTTTGGTGCTATCAATCTCCCTTCATTAGAAGTCCCTAAACTCGAGCTCACTTTAAAGCAGAATGCAGATCTAAGCAGGTCTGTGCTACAAGACATACGAGGGTGTAACGAAGGCTGCTAAACTTTCCTAATGAAAACCCCACGACTTCTGTCCAGCGCAGTCTAGTCAGGCGTCCAGAAGCAACTTAATTTATTTAGACAGGTTAAGACACTGTTCATCGCAACCAGCTCAGAACCAACGAGCATGATGGGCAGACACACCAGCGGCCGTGATCCAGCAGGCGTGGGCCTGGCGGCACAGGTGAGAGGCAGAGAAAGGAAATGGAACGAGAAGCGCACGGCACCTGCCCTGCAACAAAAGCAAACATCAGAATTCTGTATCTTCCCTCCCCCAGGCCGGCCAAGGACAACTGATAACATCACAGCCACTCAAGGTTTCCAGGTCTTTCAACCAGAGTCATGAGCCTGATAAACATGAGCATATTACAGCACTTAACAGAAACTGCGCCCCTTATTTTATGAGACAGAAATGGAATTGGGTCCTGTTTTGTTTTTTAACGTGTGCACTATTCAATGCTAAAGTATTTCGTGCGCTTTCCCATAGCTTGTTGGCAGCCGGCTTGCCTACTGTGAACAGCAGAGCATGAGTGGGGGGATGCATTTTGGTTTAAACGTGAACCTGAATTTCTTAGCCCCAAGGAAATGTCCCCTTAGAACCATGTCGCTCAACACAAGGATCCAGAAGCAGGGGCATCACCTGAGAGTTTGACAGAACCGTGGATGAGTAAGTCCCAATCCCACCAGACCCACAGAATCAGAACGCTCATTTGAATCCTTAGATGCTTTGTTTGCATACTAAAATCTGAGAAACACTGGTCTAGGGTCTTTCAGAGAATGACCCTTTTTTTATTTTATTATATTAGAGAATGTAACTCTCAGAAATGTCATTTCTACAGGAAATGTCTGAGGTTATATAAATTACATATAGGTACTATGATGACTAAAATAGGCTCCAGCTTTCAAATGGTTCTCAACGTAATCAGGGAGTAGAAGAGCATAAATCAAGCAAACAA